AAGTTGATGTTTGGTCGGAAACTTCAGTTGCCAGTGGATCTGTTAACAGGACGCCCACCTTATGAAGATTTGCCTGAGAATGTGTCAGAGTTTGTGAAAGTGTTATCGGAAAGGATGAATGACATTCACCATCAAGTGCATTCAAACTTGAAAACGTCTGCTGATTCGATGAAGTTATCTTATGATAAGAGATCTACTGAAGTTAGTTTTGTACCAGGAGACAAGATGTGGTTGTATAATCCCAGGAAGACCAAAGGGAAGTCTCCTAAGTTGTCATCTCCATGGGAAGGCCCATATGACATAGTGGATCATCTCTCAGACGTGACTTTCCAGATAAAATGTGGTCGGCGAGGAAAGCCAAAGGTGGTGCATGCCAACAGGCTTTGGCATTATCATGGTCCAGAACATTTCAGTTGGGATAAAATGAACAACGGAACAAATGATGCTGCTGAAGATGTGTCACCTGAAGAAGCCACTGTCAAAGAGAAACTACTCAGTTTTGAGAAGGGAAACAGTGAAGCCCTTGATGAAGTTACTACCACTGATGTGACTGTTACCAATGATAGGACATTTCCTGATGAAGCAGATGAACCCCACATGAAGCAGAAGCCAACAAGACGGAGACCAGTATGGAAGAAGATACGTCCTGTAAAATTAAGAGACTTTGTTGAATCTTGATCTTGTGTTTGTAAATTCTGTACATTTAATTAAGTTATTGTTAATTGGTTTAATGTAAGTGGCTACTGTTCGGGACGAACAAAACTAAGGAACGGGCAGTGTTACAACAGCGGAAATCACGTGACGCCAGTAACACGTCATGAACTTCTAGAAGGATCCTGAATGCTAGAGCGTTTAATAGATATGCGGTAGTCTTGTATATATATATATAAGACTGGCCAAGAAGCGACGGCAACGAGGTAATGTGTAATTGAACTGCAGACACAGAGAGACGTATTGTTGAGTCGAGCACGTGAGACGTTCGTTGTGAATTATAGCGTTTGTTATAGCGTGACTGTGGAAATTAAGTGTATTGCAAAGTTGTATTTAGAAAGAATAAACCAGTTTTATTTAAGAAAGGACTTGTATTGCTAAAGTTTCTTCGGAAAGAAATTATATGGAAAATTAACTAACAAACAGCGATGTAAAAATATTTTGATTAATCTGTAACAGTACACAATGCCTTAAACTGATGAGCAAACTATAAATTATAAAGAAATAATCTCAACACCTGCTCAAAAATACATTTATTTTGTAATGATACTTTCCTTCAGCATAAAAATAAGTTGCTCAAAATAGATTGCTCTAAGTTGAAAATACTTTAAAACTAGCCACTTAGATCAAAAGTACATTTACAAATTAGTTTGATACAAAAAACAATATTAAACTTTTGGCACATGTAAATCTAATAATGAAACTAAGTTAGCAACCAGTCACTATCAAACTTCACTGGACACTTTCAAGATCTAAACACTTGTAATATCGATTGAGTTTTAAAAATAATCATTGTTAATCTTGACTTTTAAGAATTGCACAATTTGAAAAACTAATAATCTGAGAAACCCTGATAAAGGAATGTCTACCTTTCAATGGGGCTCAGATTGTTCAGTTTCTTAAGTTGTTCCAATTATAAACTTGCTGAGTACAGATAAAGGCTGTTAATCATTAACTGAATGTTCTTTTCAATAACAGTAAAACAGTATCCACACTTCAGATTATCATTTCTTTTGGGTAAAGTAAAAATGCTGATGAGGAACTATTATTCTCAGTAGTATCTTGAATTTCTTTATCTGCTATTAATGAGAATCATTTGCCACATAAACTCTGATATAGCAGGTCATTAGATACACAACCTCCTAAGCTTGCACATGACAAAACTTGTACTTTTAATTGTGCCTAATACATTAGAAGTTGTAAAATATCTGAAGTAACTAAAGCACTGGTGCACAATTCTTAATAATATTTTAAGACTTTTATCTTGAACCTTTCTTCTTGTACTGCCATCTGTTGGTATAAAATCCTCACTTCAGAAGAATTTACACAACTATAATTTAATATTTACATGTACTTTATCATGACAAAACTGCATAAAACTTTTTAAAATCTCAGCAGCAGTGCACTATTTGGATAAAGCTTTAAAAAATGTTATTAAAAATATAAATCCTAAAACTAATCTAAGTTTATAAATAACAAGAGGATAAAAAATGTTTTAATCATATCATAAATTCAGTTCTTTGAAAATATATCATGATTACAGTTTTTATAAAAACTGCCAGAACTAAAACTTGCTGGTATAGTTCGATGCACAAAAATGGTTGAATTAAAAAATTGGTTTTTATCATTTCATATTAATATACTACACTCCCATCTCTTAAATTACACTTGAACTTCCTACAAGATTATAATTTGCATAATCTAAGGTAGTGAGTTGAATATGAAAAAACAAGTCTGTACAGATAAGTGACAAATCCAACAGTTTTCTTAAAAACAAAACCAGAATGACTGCATTATTCATATAGAACTGCTTCCATTATTTCTAGTTTACTTTTAATGACAAACTGTTATCAAACTAGTAAGTGTTTTTCTAATAGTACTGGTACACATGCAAGTTGTTGGCACCAATGGAGAGTTATTATACAGTAATATTAAAAAAAGGCATTTGTAAAATAACATCAAGAACACGGCAAAAAGTTAAATAGTTACATTACTACTCCAAAACAAACATTTCAAATAAAAGAGTAAATATGAAAATTAACTTTTTTTCTTAAAGTTTTACTCGAGGTATTTGACTTGCACATTTTGGATTAGTTTTGCGTTTTTTTTAATTTCATGTTTAATTGAGAATCTCTTGCTCCATGCACTGTAAGAACTCTTTTTACTGTATTAAAAAGTTTCTGTGTATGTTAGTTTGTGTTTTATCACTAAACTGCTGAAAACAATGATTGAAAAAATTAATCTCATTGTTCTATACCTCAGTACATAATCAATATTTAAGATTTATAATCAACATATAACTTTTCAATTTTTTGTTTCTTTGAAATACTATTTAAAGTAGATCATAAAAGTAAGTATTGTAATCAAATACCTCTGGACAATTTCATGTACAAATAGCTTAGCAAAAATCTTAAGACCAAAATAAATTCTACAATAAAAATATATCAAATTCTACTAACAAACAACTTTACCTGCATGACTAGATAAAGGTAGTACAGCTTGTCAAAATGTACTAATTTATAGCAATAAAACAAAGGAACTAAATAAATGTTTGAAGAAAATAACGTTATGAACTAAACACATTGATCAACTGGCTGTAAATAAGTATGAAGACAATTATAGGAAGTACAAACCTTCATGACCAATTTGACAATTCATTAATGTACTGTCCTTTGTACAGTCTAAAAAAACTACAAATGAAATCTGTAGATAAATAAATCCAGAAAATCCATAAGTGAGTCAATTGTAGTGAATCATTTAATTTGATGAAAAAAAAATGAAGTGTATAATTTTGTTACAATGCAATATACACATTGTGTTGTAAAAAATTAAAATTAGAAACACAACACAGACTTTATGGGCCTTTGTGTTAGTCATAAATATATAAGAAACATACAACAAAACTACACGTATGCTTCTAAACATGTATCTTTTACTTTAGTTTTGTAAAAACCTGAAGTTATCTAGTGAAAAAAAAAGGGATTATTATTATGTTTAGTAGCCTTATAAAAGGAGTATCATAAAAAAACTAGACTAGGCCCTCAAAATTACTGGAACACATTATTATTACTAGCCAAAATGCTACCCTAAGGGTAGCTGTTTGTGCTAGTAATTACTAATTATAGTATTAACCTGTAATGTTTTTATACATTAAAAGTGGTACTGTTTATTGAAAAAATAATAGTTTTGTAAGAACTCCAGTTTCTCACTACTACATTTAAAAATTAAGTCAATAAAGATATAATTAGACTCTAATGTACAGTCCTAGTGAAAGTCATGTTCTTGTTGTGAGGAGAGTACTTTTATTTAAAATTGTGTTTTATTATAAAAGAAATGCTTGTTGCACATACCACAGTTATTTTTCTAATTGTTTGAATCTGGAATACCCAAAGTTTGAATTTTTTATGGATTTTTGTTTGTGGTGCCATTCAATAGCTGGCACAGGAATTTTGGTTACATAGATACTGACATACACACTACATCCATTATAATAAGATTATTTGTGTGAACTTTCCATGATTTGAAAAATTAGGAGTTTTTGTTCAAAATTTTGGTGAAGATTTTCATAATTATTCGTAATAAATAACCCCATTATTCTACAAGTCCCCTTGGTACAGACACAACACATTTAGTTTTGATATCTGCAGAAACACCAGTAGAGCAAGTATGGTCACCAACAAGATAAAGATACAGTAATCATCAAATCATATTTCAGAAGTGGCCATCAGATTTTACAAGTCAAATGATAGTAGGAATGAGTATGTCAAAAATTTGAAATAGGGTTGCCACCTATCCTCTACATGTCTATCATTTTAGAGTGGTTTAAGTTTTCTATTTTCAAAAGATTAAATTTTTTTAGACTAAACATTTTAATATAATAAATCTACAGTGTTCTATGTAGGTCAACTACAAGTGTGTATCAATCTTTTATTTCATGGTTTATGCAATCTCCATCTGTATTAACAAGTGTGGAGTGAATAAAAGTTCCTTTAGGATTCTATCACCCATTTTATAAAATGTTTTTATAATGTGGTGCCCCCATGATGGGGAACACTCCCAGACTACCTACCATTCTTTGGTGATACCCCTATAATCTAACATGCTGAGAAGGTGGAAACCTTGCCTTGGAACAGGATATTATGAGCACACTAGTCTTTTGTATGTTCTGTGTTACTAAAACAAGACCCTAGATGATAGAACATATTAACTGCTTGTATTGCCTAAGCAGGGTCTTGGAATTTACAATGTATTAATTGTTTGAAAACATTAGGAAGCTGCTATTTAGGAGTGCATTAAAGTTGACTCTTCAGTGTAATTACAAAACATCATGAAAAAGACAATGGCAAGTGTACAGAAACAACGAACATGGCTGGTAACTGTACAATAATAGGATGTGGTGCTAGAATGCTAGTGGTCTTCACCAAAAGTTATGAACAATTATTTTATACATGTTACTTTACTCCTACATTAAACAGAAAAAAAATGTATTTTCCAGTAACAAGTGAAAGTGTGTGAACTAGTGAATGGTCAGTCTATACTGATCTCTAAACTTAATCATGCCATACAAGAAGTCACAGCTGTTACAGGTAATATTTTTGAAGCTGGTCTATAGTAATGAACCATAGTTACCAGATGTGAACTGAAGAAAGGTGGTATTTCACTTACTCCTCACTGGTCATGGGTCATTCAGACCAACCACGTATGACTCCTAATATTCTCTAACCTTTTCAGTAGATTAACACAACTGACTAGTAGCCACAGCAATAGAGTGACTATACCACAACCCATGAGCTGAGATTTGTCATGGCTTTATAATTATTCTGGAAAGATGAAGGGTGGGGATCTGAAATCAGTCATCAAGCCTGGTACAGATTCCTTTGATGCTATTGGAAATTCCAGTATCTTTTCTAGGTCTCTGATACGGCGTTCATGATTGATTATAGTGATTTTCATTTTCTTCATTTCTTCTAAGAGTTCTTCTATCTTCTTGCCCTTGACAACAAAGGGTGAAAGCAAATGTTACACAAATACTGAAACAAAAATCTTACTGCTATACACTTTAAAATCAACAGAAACAGCAAAGATCAATGATACATATAATTTGAGTATTAAATGTATCTTTTTGACAAAGATGTAAAACACAAATATAAAATTTAAATTAGCAGTAAATACAACAGCTTGTAACAAGCAAAATATGTGGATTTATATATTTTTAGCAACTGAAAAACTCCTAACTCATAAAAACCCAAACTTAGCAAATTTTGTTAATATTTATAATACAACCCATTTCTAAATTAGGAGGTTAATCGTGACAAAAATGTTATTGGAATTATTGTAAGATAGAGATGAATTAGTACAGTGAATGGGTTTAATTTTCCTAATTTGTTTTAATGTTACAGAAGACTCTTCAGCTCTCCCACACTTTTGTACTCAATATAATAAGTGTCACTTCAAGTTACTTCCTGTTCTATATATTGTGGTAATTATTTCTTTATTTATATAAAAATTATATGTACATATATTTAAGATTATTACAATTATATTCCATTCTTCTGACTTAAAGCTAATTGTAATTTCAATTGATAAAAATATGATTCATATATTTATATTAATGCTAAAAGCCTTTCAGTTTCACACTATCATAATATTTCATGTTCAAGTGATGACATAGATAAACCAGAACCTCAAAAAGGTTCTTTATTTTTTAATATTTTGATAATAATGTTATACATATGAATACAATGTTATACATGTGAATCTCCCAATTATGGTGTACAGATTAGTTATATAAAATAACATATCTTGATCATACAATGATAATATATAAATTGTTCATACATTGTTATGTTTCTCATCAACACAGTGATGGTATATGGATTGTTCATACAATGTTATATAGTTCACTCACACAATGATGGTATACAGATCATTCATATAACATTCATATCTCAATTTCACCATGGTGGTAAATAGATCATTCAGACACATTGCTAAATAAAAAGAAAAGGAATTCATTGAGTAAAAAGACCAATTAGATGAAAAATTAAAAGAACTGAAAGAATAAACATACATGCATATACCACACTGTGTACATGTGTAGTTTTTTGATGAAATTAAAAAATATAATTATCCATGCATTTTTCATACCAGGTTCTCTGGAGATATTGAATCAGGATCTGTGTCCATCTTGTTTTGTACTTTCTATTTAATAACATAAGTCCATTAATAAAAATATAAATACCAAATCTAGTTCTCTTGTTATAATCTTAGCTATTCAACTAATTACTCCTTGAAAACGATGCAAATGATATTTTGGAATGAAATGTTCTAGGATAGCCCTAGAAAAAAAATCTTCTTAAAGAGTACGGACCCTGGATTTATCTGTGTACCATCATTTGGAGATTGAGATATATACCATTGTCTGAATGGTCTGTATACCACACTGTGTGATTGAAGTATATAATATTGTACAAATGATCTGTATACCATCTGTGTCTGACTGAACTATATAACATCCAATGAATGATCTATTTACCACCATGGTGAAATTGAGATATGAATATTATATGAATGATCTGTATACCATCATTGTGTGAGTGAACTATATAACATTGTAAAGCTGTTGTATTTGGTAATGAAAGTAAATTTTCTTGATGTTTCTGCCTTTTCAGCAAACTCTTCTGCTGACTAATGCAAAGCAGCAATATCATCATGTAAATGTTATCTATTTCATTCATCGCAGTCTTTCGTTTTTGACCAATTTTTGCTGTTCTTTTTATTTTCATCATTCCTCAATAAAGGTCACACACCTTTGCTTTGCAGATGCTGCTGAAGCAAGAAGCGAACTGTTGACGTTAATGTTAAGGACTCCATTAACAGTACTAATATGGTCAGTTGATGTTAAGGACTCCACCAACAGCATTAATATGGTCATAGATTAATCTCTGTGAAATGAGGAGTTGTTTATAAATTTTCCACTTAAATTTCTTTGTTAATAGAAAATCCTCTTTCTACAGTTACTTGTCCATGTGAAATTAGGAGCAAATCTTTTACAACACTCCAAACTTTGTTGAAGTAGACATTTTTAGAAAGAAACTTGGACAAAAATTTATCTAATCTGCATTCCTCGTTGTGTCGCAAAAATGATTGAAAATCTGATAGATTGTGTGTTACGTCCACATCAATAAACTCTTTAAACTGGGCCAATATGTCATCATAGGCTCTAACAGCAAAACAAGCAGTTTTTTCATCCTTGTCACGCTGTCCTGTTTTGACCTTGCCATGGTTCTGGGGTCAAGGCATGTGATATATCTGGCCAGGGCCAGTGGATACTTGAGTGGAAATTTTTGCAGCATCTTACTAGCAAGCTTCACCATAAAATTATGACATTCGTTTCTTAGTTCCTTAACTTTGATAACACTGATGGCCTTTGAAGTTGATGAAAGGATTTTACTGAGCTCTTGTTCCGCTGCAAATCCAAGATTAATTTTCTTGTATGAACTGTAGTTGTCCTTGTTCTGTTAATCAAGTCTCTGGAGCTTTACAACAGTAATATTGTCCAACACTGCCGGTTTCATGAAAAGTTTCAGTATTTTAACAACCATGATGAAAATATCCTATACAACAAATGGCATCATTGAATTGTCTGTTTGATAAATTGACAAAAATGGTGATATCAGTTTAGCTATTTATGTGAATGACAACAATTGTGGAATGATCAGTTTATCTTTGAAGCAACAATATCATATGAGCTAATCTTAGGATTTGTCAATTTTTTCCTCATCACTTTTGTAACATACTGGACAATACTTGGCCATATTTGTATAGCACACCCTGCCATGGGGACATTTTCCAGATAACTATGAGAACAAAACTAAAGATTCAGTGACTAATGTATATATAGTCCTCTGTTCTTGATGGTGAATCTTTGAATAATTTGTATAAACAACAGAAGTTTCTGAATGGGTCATGTTGAAGCAGCAGCACTATCCTTGAAAGTGCCATGAAGTACGTGTACACCACAACTGCCAACATCTAAAAGAGACTTGTCATACTGCATTGATAGTTACTCATCAACAAGCCACTTCAAATTTAGATTTACACTGGGACCATCCAGTAAGAGCTGCACCAAATTCTATCTGTTTAGTTCTTCAACCAACTCAAAGTGATGCATCATATGGTTGGAAGTTGCATGCCCCATGAAAGTTGATTCGTCATATATAGTTTTTACCTATGCAAAAACAACAAAAACCCTTGATACATACAACCATGACAAATTTGGTTATTTATACAAATCAGTAGATGTACAAGTACTAGTTTCTTCAAAATGATCATTATGATTAGAAGAGGAAATTTATATAACTGGTTTGTGAATTAATTGAGTAATAGTGTTTCAACAACAAGAACTGGAGAAATAATGAGTAATTCAATAACAATAAAATATGGTGTTCCACAAGGTTTCAATTTTGGGTCCAATACTGTTTGAATTGTATGTTAATGATATTGTAAATATAGGTTTAAAGAGTATAATATATCAATATGCAGATGATACAGCTTTAAACGTAAATCATGTTGATGTGGAAATTGGCAGAGAATTTTAAAAGACGAATTTCA